GAAAGAGGTGACTCACCAGAGTCAAGACCTTTGAAAAGCAACATACAAACAGAAAGAGAACCTCTTGCCTTGTCCCCAGAGGCTATGGCTTTAGAAAGCTGATCTCTAGGCCGCTGTGGTGTTTGTCCTTATGTCCTTAAAGCGTGGATCATGTCTGCCCACGTGCTGCTTGCTGGTGCATTTTCTGTGGTGTGGCTCTGATGTGGTTTCACTGGGCTGGGGCTGAGAGACATGAGGTTCTCCACTGCTCTTACTTACAAACACAGCAGGACTCTTAGAAAAAAGTTCCAGGTCTCGTTCCATGCATCTTTCTTGCTGGCAGCTTTTCATTTTTACCTTGTGCCGGGAATACAGATTCTTTTTCCTGTCACCTCTGGGACTGTCTGTGGACAAGGGATAGTGTTGAGAGTTGCTTGAATTACTCTTAGGAGGCCCACGAAGAGCTGTGCTCCCAAGGCGAGTCTGAGCCACAGGAATCTCATCCATGGACTCAGCGGACTCTGAGTGATAGTCAGCTGGAGGTCCTGCTGCCTGGATGAGGCTGATGCTGCTGGAGGGCACAGCAGCTCTCAGAGAGAAAGTTGGCACTAAGAGGCGAAGGCTGTGGGAAGATGAGGTGTCAGCAGGCATGGCTGGGAGCTCTACAGATGGAAAGAAAGGGAGAAGAAGGCTTAAGGAGAGCGAGAGAGATCCCTCAGCCCCATAAAGACATCAAGGAGCCCAGGAACTCTCATACAGCTGATCCACTAGTGTCAAAGAAAATCATATGTATATTTACGCAAAATCAGATATGAAAATGTACAGAATCCTACACTCAGCAGTGTACCCAAGTCTGATCATTCTAGAGCACCTCCAAGCACTCAGAAGCACTCATTTCCCCTTCTTAGGCAAGTTAACTTTCTGACAGTGCTGGATTTTCACGATACACTGCATTTCTGTGTGCCCACAACCAGAAATCCAGTTGAGAAACAGAGAAGCTGACTGGTGTACTCCTACCTGACTGGGGACCTGGGAAAGAGGGCCAAGGTCTAGCATGTGTTTTAGATCTGCCCTCCGCTGCTGAGGAAGAAGCTTTACGCGTCTTTCTTCTTTTTTTCTGCCACTGTGAAAGCACATGGTTCAAGAGAAGGGAAATCACTTTATCAGCCCAAAGTAACGAGTCAGGCAGCTTTTTTAATTGCTACCTCTTTTTAACTCCTTCTATTTCTAATCATGAGCAGTAGGTATGACCAAAGACCAAGAATATTTTATAGTTTAAGGCTGAGTTACTATACTGCAATGACAGAGAACAGGTATTTAATGCACACACACATTATCTGCATACAGTTATTCTCTGTGTGTAGGTACGTTTATGTTGTTGCCTCATACAGCTGGAGGATGTATGAGACACTGGTGGGAAAATGCATTTGTAGAGCCAAACTAGAAGAGGGGACCAAAAGTCACACAGCCCAGGACATCCCAAGAGAGAGACAGCCTCTTGTCTCAAATAAAAGTATAGTTGAAAAGTAGTTTTTCTTATCATCTAGATGATAAGACTTTGATTCATAAGCTTGGAGGAAGCGGGGAGAGCACCACCACCTGCCATTTGAGCAAGGGGGGAGAGCATCTGGCCATAGGTACATGAATATCAAGAGTGCAGAAAGCTTGACTATGGGCAGCTGTTTCATACACTCAAGTTTCATATTCACACACAGCATATTTCCCTGGGCAGGTGCTTTAACATCATATTTGAATGTATAAAGTGTTGGATTTTGCTCTACAGAAACAGGCACAGCTTATTACATCAACAGAGCTGCACAGATACTGTCACTGAACTGCACTGGAGCAGCGAGACATTGCATTACAGCTGAGCTCAGGAGGGAACTGCAGAATATATCTGATCCCATGTGTGAGCTGAGACAGGAGAGCATCACTTGGACGTAGTGACTGCAGGGCACAGCCATACCTGCAGATACATGCTGAGGACAGGAAGGGCAAGTGTCCCAAGGCGGTAACCACTGTTTGCACTAGAGTGAGTGTGCAGCCCTGCACACCATGGCAGCAGCAGAGGTTACAGCACGCAGCAAGTCTCCAGCTTACCTGAGAAGGGACGGCAAAGTGAAGAGCTGGGAGGTCAGGAGAAAAGCTCTGCTCGGGGTCAGCTCCATCATTGTGGACATAAAGCTTGGAAAAGCTAAAACACATGGCAGATATACAAGATGATTCCCTTAGGCACGACTTAACTCTGACGCCCGCTTTGCCTGCATGTACACATCAGCCTGACTGAAGCATCCCCTGCCTTGCACAGCATTCCCAGCAAAACCGCAGGGTAACTTTTCCTGTGCAACTGTGCAAAATATGAAGGGTTTCCTCTCCCTTCCCCAGGGACAGGAGTTAATAAGCAAGGATTAATTAGGAGACAAGGATGCTGTTTTCCCTTGAGTGCTTGCCTGTGTTATAAACTTGGCCGTTGTGATGCACCTTTCGACAACCTGAAATCATATAACTATAATGAGGTCAATATAGGAATTACAGGACAGACCAGGCAGATTTAAGATAATTTTAACATGAAACAGCCTAAACAGATTATTCTAGGAAAGATATTTTCCCAGAGGAGGGGAAGCAAGTACTCCTACAAGTATTTACCCTCCTGAAACTCAAAGATTTCACCATGCTTTGGTCAAAACATTGGTGCTCCCTACCCTCCTAAGTACTTTTGCCTTAGGGTCCATCAGCGACTTTGGTGACAGTTTCCCATTCACCATCCATGCTGTGGGAGACTTATCTCCAGCTTTACTCACCCTTTTTCTGAAGTTACTGTTGAGAACTCCTCTACTTGAATACCAGGATCTGCATATCCAGGGTTAACCGAAAAGAAGTCTGCTTCCTGGGAAAAAAAAAAAAAAGAATTAACATTTTCAGACCAATATGGACACATAGTGGAGAAGAGGAATTTTTCACTACATAGGTGTCTTCCTCCTTCCTCAGCCACATACCAGACATTTTCTGTCCTTACAGTTAACACAGCTGAAACTCAGCAGGAGTCTGCAGCTTAAGAAGATGGAAAACCAAGATGGAGACAATTAGAAGTCCCTGATTCATTCATTTAGTCCAGCCATGTGACTCAAAATCAAATCAGAGCACACTTACGGAGACCAGCTTAAACATTTCTTGGGCCCGCATTCAAAATATCACTTAAAGCCTCCATAAATTATACAGTTCATCATAGAAGCCAAACAGTGAATGAAAAAAACTTCTTTTAAATTCAAAATGGAGGTGAGGAAAATGAGAGCATGCAACATACAGGACAAACATAAAGTACTTTCTGTTTCGTGTGTGAATCCTGTATGGCTAAGACCTGCTGTTTTTAAATGTGGTATATTGCTCATTTGCCTCAGGTATAGATGAATTCAAAGTAATGCCAACTTGAACTTTAAAATCACATACTTTCACAAACATGGAAGACTCAACAAATAAGCCTCCTAAATCCAAGCGTCTACATTACAGAAAAGGGCTCCCAGTTGTCCCTCAAAAGAACACATTAAGATGGTCAGAGTACCAAGTGACGCTGGATATGAAGCCACATTGCCAAAAAGGATAAACTGTGCTCAGAAAAGCCTTGGCACTACTTTTCAGCTGCTCTTAAACTTGAATAATTAGCAAGACAACTTCCTCAAACATTTAAGCGTGGAGTGACTGTAAAGACATACATATTTCAAGACAACTTTTAGGTGGTAAAGACAGAGGGATTTTAAATGCGGTAGGCATTAGCTTCCAAAACACCTTGAACAAGCTCATGAAGACCTATTTGTCTCAACAGCCCAATCAGCAAACTTGAGAAAATTAAGTCAAAGTTGGACGTGCCACAAATGGGTTCCTGAGACACCCAGGGCCTCTGCAACAAATTCATAAACCATCGACCAAAATGCAGAACAGTGAGATGAAGTCTGGTGATGATATTCCCTTATGCAAGGCCATGAAAATGAAAGCCAAACACAAAGAGTTGAGAAGATTCTTGGAGTATTGAATTCTGTGGTGATAAAATAGCACACGAAAATCACTATTGCTAGATGTAAAGATGTAAAGTAATGCATGTGGGAGAAGTACTGTAAACATTATGTAGAAAGCAATGGTCCCTGAACCAGAAAATAATTCATGGAGCTCCACACCCACTGGCAGCCAAGATGTCATTTCAGATGATAGGAATGAAAAGGAAAGGCAAAAAAAAAAAAAAAAAAGAAAAAGAAAACAGAAAACAGCTTCATGTTACTGACTAAATTCATCATCAGCTTGGACACTGGATTCTCTGTAGTGTTCCAGCATCTCTCCCCACAGAACACCTGGAAGAAGGTACAGAGAAGAGTGACAGGACCAATGAAAGTTATGGGGCAGTTTCTATACAAGAAACAGCTAATGGGCCAGGGCTCTTCAGTCAGGAGAGGAAATACTCAGGGCAGGTATGAGTGGAAAAAGCAAATGGGGAATAATTCTTTACCATCTCTCTAACACAACATTTAGGGAGCATCAAACGAAAAAAATCAGGTAGAAGTTTCAAAGGAAACAGAAGAAAGGCTGCATTTTTGACACAGGGTAGAAATAAGCTGTAGCACTGTCTGCTGTAGGATGCTGCAGGTGCTAAACATTACACGGATTTGAGAAGAAATGAGAAGTTTGTGAGAGAAATCAGCAAATACAAAGATGGTCGATGCTCTGTGCTCCAGAAGCCCCTAACAGGTATTGCCAAGTGCTGGGAGAGGGTACTGGGGACTACGACTCCTGCTCTCTCTCAGGATCCACAACGGGCCAGTGTCAGAGCCAGCATGCTGCTCTGATCAGCTTTGGCCAGCCTTCTTTAATCGCCAGAAGAGATAACTCCAAAATTACTAGTTGCTTTTGAACATCTTGGCATCAATATTTGGAGTCTCAGTGCTTGTGTGATTGTTAGATAAAAGAGTTGCCAAACTGGAAAGGGAAAGGCTTCAGGGCACTTGCCTTTTGTAACATGGACTGAGTTTAATTGGTCTTGTAAATTAAAAAAAAAAAAAAAAGAAGTGGAGAGGAATTTGCAGCTGGTTTATAGTGGTAACACAAAATATCAGTGAATTGCTTTAGCAATCCCAAGCGTTAGAACTTTCTGATTTGAGAATTATGCTACTTGGGGCTATTATAGGCAGGGTTTATCCAAGTGCAGGATTAATAATCTGCAGAAATTGACCACATATATTTCAAATAGAACTTGTAACTCAAGTCAGATCATTTCTCTTCATCAACTGAACACCAAAAGTACATAAACATTTCCTCAAATCTCCTCGAGGACCAAATTTTTAACATTTACATTCGAGCCTCATGCACCTGAGTCACAAATGAAGGACATCAGACACAGTCATGTGTCACCGTAAGCATACGGGCTGTAGGTCTTTTCAGAGGCAAGCAGGACATGGCCAAAACGAGCTGCAGCTGGAGACATCCTTGTGAAACCATGCAGAGTAACTGAAAACAATCAGGATTCAATGTCCACAGCATACAAACAGGACTGCAGGCCTGCCATTTCAAAGAAGATTAATAAACGATACATCTTGCACAAAACATGACCAACTTCTTTCCAAGCAGGGAATGAAAGAGCTCTTTAAAATCAATTTTGTCCATTTCAGCCTTCTATACATGATGTATAATCAAACCAGCCACATGAAAGAAAGTAACCCATTAGAGCTGATTAGCAGAAGCAAATGGAAGAAGACTTGATCGGGAGAAAAAACAATGTTCTCTCAGTGACAAAAACTACAACCACAGCGCAGAGTCCCAGCCTCCCTCCACTCCCACAGTCATTAGCAGGACAGCCAGCTACAGCTTTTACTCTTGCTGAAACCAGACTGCTAAATCGACAGACCGCCCAAGTTCATTGCAAATCCTGGTCGTGCTCAGACCTCCTCTAGAGGCTGAATACCAGCTGTGTCCACCCCAAGCTTCATGGTTACGACTTCAGGATGAATTCAGCTCCCTCGTTTGCTGCCGCTGCTCTTACCACCCACTTTAGCGACAGCCAGTGCCCTGAAATCTTGTCTGGCTGGAGGGGAGACAAAATTGAACAGGAAAAAATGGTTCTTGTCCCAGAGAAAGTGGGTTTGTTAAAAGTGTCGAGGCTGAGAGTGAAAACTAGGTTTATCTTAACCACATATGGGAAAAGAGGTGCAATATTGAAAATGTGAGGGAAGCTGAGTAAAATCTGTGTCTACTGTTTAAAATCAAAACTCATCAACCTGAATCAATGTCCAAAGCCAGTTCAAAGCTTTAGGAACATGAAAAAAAATCACATCCCAGCTTGCCTCACTATGAAAACCAGCTCCCTGGTGTGAATGCAATTATGCATTAAAGCATCGGGTTTGGTTTAATTTATATTTCTTTGGACTGCTATGCAACTGCCTACAGAAAAACTGTTACTTACACATGCTGCTTTGGGTATAGTAATAGAGGAAAAGGCTCTACATGTCCAACTGTTCTGTGTTTTTTGTGACATCTGAACCTTTCAAGTGTGCAAAATTAGAGCTTCTACTCTGTGCAGGTTCTGAGAAGGATTTTAGAAGCACATAAGAATCCTTTAACCTGAACATAGCCGAACCACAGACAAACATGGAAAACTGAAGTCAAAACCAATACCCAAGCTTGAATAAGGCTCAAAACCAAGGATTAAAGGGAAATGCATGCTGCTTCTTACTCCCTAAAATGAATGAACAGTTAAGACAAAAGTGGGAAGAGGATGATTTCCATTTTATGCTTGCAACATCTTGGATCAATTACAAAGGATCTCTGTGTTCAAGCTAAGGAAGGCTGTAGTCAACACGGCTTACAAAAGGCAAGTCACTTGGTGTACTCCTACACCAATCTATTTGTTTGTGTTTATCTCCGGTTGCTATGTAAGAAACAAAGAAAATCTGGTGGGTTAACATTTTTCTTAACAATGTTACTGGGCATCATCCAGTCTTTCTTGTTCCCCAAGGTCCTGAAACACAGAACTCCTTTTCACCCTGCTTCTGCCAGGCTTGCTGCTTCAAATTAACCATATTCACACAGATCTAGATAAGCACCAGTGCAGAAAGGAGAACATCATTGAATGGCTGCATCCCAAATGTGCACACACACAGCGATCTACCCCTGTTCAGAAATATTTTCAGTAGCATCAGTAACTAGGAAACGATTAGAGCTAATGCTTTATTATTGTTTTAATTTTCATAGTAAGCAAAGCTCTATGAGACAAAGTGCCAAATATTTTTGTTGTTATGGAAACCTCTGTTTAAACTGAAAGTTCAACTTTTCCAAGGCAGTAAAAAACTGTGTATGAAAAGCTGGGGTCTCCATATTACACAGAAAGGGAATTAGCTCACTCACACCTTTGCTGTGATAGGGACAAACCATAAATGGGTCCAGAGTGATCCCAGTATCTCTACACAGAACACTTGGACGAAGCTTGGATTTAATTAATTTCTTGTGAAGTATAAAACTGGTCGCATAGTAGGTAACTTACTTGCATAAAACTAGAGTGAGTCACATGGAATCGCAGAATCGCAGAATAATTTAGACTACGAAGAATTTCTGGAAGTTTCTAGTCCAATCTCCTGTTAAACCAGTACAGAATTTGTCCAGGCAAATTTTGAGTAACTCCAGGGATACAGCTGCCTTTCAGCAAAATAAATTACACTCAGCCTCTCAATTCATATCCGCCAATGCAGAGTGTGACAGCATTAAAGAGCTTGTAGAGCTCTTTTTACAGAGATACAGGTCAACATCATGGTAATCACAAGGATTCTTATCACTATGTAGACTCAAATCAGAAAAAAGCAGATTATCTAGGTCATTTCTGAACACGACTGGTGTCCTTTTCCTTTTCAAGACGGTTAAACTATTGGTATTATTAGCTGCTTGATGATTAGCCCCCGTTTCTCCAGCCTTAGAGCCTGTCTTGCTTTCAGTTGTGACCTGCAATAGCGCTCACATAAGCCAGCAAGATGTGCACTGCCACCCAAACAGATGGTCCTGTCCTTTCCCATGACAGAACCCTTCCCAGTCTTCAGTCCTCCTCATCTGTGCTGACACAGGCATTTATGTGACTGCTTGGTGAACCAAATAGGAGGGAGATGGGCCAGCTAAACACAAGCTCAACTGTTTTTTCAATAAAGTTTATTCTTACCCAGATGAGTTCCCCCACTCTCTTCACTGCATGACTGTAATGAACAGCTGCGCTGGCAGAAGAGAACAGATAGTGCAGGGCCCAAAACAAGTGGTGGAGGAAGAGAGTGGGTGGGATTGATTCCTTTGAAAGTAGTACCTACTTATGCCTACAGTGTTCATCAAATTGCAGGCCTTACACTCTCTCACATCCTACTCATCCTCCTCAAAGAATCTCTAAAGTCTTATCTTTAGCAACTGCCTCTAAAATTCGGAGCACGCAAAAGTGAAGCAAACTTTACACTGCAGACAAGCAAGGCTGGTTTTGAAAAATGGCCTGAAAGTACGAGTACCTGACCAGGTCTCACTTGGGATGGACAAGACTCCAGCTGCTTGTCCACCTCTTTCACCTCTTGCTGGGGACGCTGCTGCAGGATGTACTCGTATGTAGTCAATTTGTTCCACACTGGGAGGAAAGAAAGAGCTGTCAGTGCAGGAAAAACCACTCCCTGATTACACTTATACAAACAGTCTGAATAACTATACAATCAAATAGTAACTATAAACATGAAAAGACTGATACTCTAAGCCAAAAGTACTTCTGCAGTGTACCTCTTAGTTTATCCGTTACTGTCATCATCACACTTTTTCATAGTCCCACTACTCCTCTAAAGCCTCATCTACATGGTGGTACAGCCTTCTATATTGTAGTAATTTGTTCAGCTCATTGCAGACTAAATCCATCATTCATACCCAATGTGGGTAAGACCAGTATCATATAAAAAGCTCAGTGAGTAGTCAGAAGTATGTGGTGCTACAAGGTGAAAAGAAATTCAGCACGTTAATGAGTAAAAGGGACTGAGGTACTTAATGTCCAAAACAGCAAGCATCAAATGCACAGCTTACCTCTTGCCAAATACATGTGCCCAGAGTTTACATGTGCCTGAGTTTATGTGCTCTTAAGGTCCCACACACAAACACATCTGCTTCCATGAATGACCAAAAGCATGTACATTTCTGAGTGGCTTGGTTTCTTCATGTGACCCAAAATGTTATGAGGATCCAAAACTCAGTCATTCCTTCCATAATGACCTCATTATGGTAAGTATTTTTAGAGCACAAAACCCAGAAATGGATGCTGAAGGTTTTTAGTCCACAGCCTGGTAGTCATTCTTCCTTTTTATAGAAGCAGAGTAGTTAAAGCAGATGCCTAGCATGGGGACATCCAGACTAAAATCCTTCCTCTGCCCAAGACATTTGTATCAGTGATATCTTACCTCTCAAAACCATGCCCTAAACACAGGGCTACTTCCCAGGGAAATGGGGGACAGCAGAGGAGAAGGAGCCCCTCCTGTTAAAGCAATGACCTTATGAAGAAACAGGAATTCAAGAGGCATTTGGCCAGGAAGACAGAGCATAAAAATGAATGCAAGTCTGCAGCCAAGTGATTAGCAAATGCGCTTAACGAGGACAGTGCAGGGTGCTGGCAAATGCTCCTGGAATGGTACCATATGCTTTATTTGAGAAACCGAATACTGCTTCAGAGGCAACGGGCTATAAACCGTTTTTAACTTAGAGTTTGTTTGCTTATGAATACTTAACAGTGTAACTTTAAATATTTTAATGGAGCTATTTAGTTAAAAAATACTGCCTTTGGCCAGATAACACTGCAGCACATACTGTACAATATATAATCATAGCCCATGAAGAGCCCCATACCCTTTCCTATATGCCCTTCCTACCTTCCCTACCATTTTTTTCTTTTTATTCTGCTTACTATTAACCTCTCAGTATTGAAGAAAAAAATAAATCCCCCCTCCAAACTTCTGAAGTGCCATGCTTCACTGAATGCCTCTAGAACTGAGTCTCAGTCAAGACTGGTAATTTTGAATACATGGACCTACTATTTTGAGAGTAACCTACTTCCTTCCTTTTGAGTGACAGCAGTGAGTAATTAAAATCAGGACAGTAGTTCTGAAAATTTCACTGTACTTGTAACAAAACTAGATTCTAAAATTTTCCCAGTCATATCTGACTTAAGCCATTTTTTTTTATGTGAAGTTTAAAGGTAATACCACTCACTGGGGTGCTATTTTCTTTCTGCAATTTAATTTAAAAAAAAAAAAAAAAAGTTTATTAAGAAATATTCATAAACAGTAATTACATTTTAACTGGTAAATTGTATTTCTCGTCCCAAAAGAGGTTAGACAGCTCATTCTGACACGGTCTACCTTAAAGCATTCATATAAGGCTCTTGACAAATATAGGTGTGGAATAAGAGGAATTTAAACCAGACGTCTGTCTGTAGTACTTTGTCTACCTCCCTGAATCCCAGCTGTAATGCATACTCATATGAAACATGCAATGTAGGCTTCAATATGGTAACATCACTCCTTTTAACAAGGACTGACATATTGCACTTCTGCACAGCTGGAAACAGTTTCAATAGGGTAGCAGATTTTAATGGAATAAAATGTTAACAAAAAATAACAATTAAATTCTGTTTCCAAGTCTTAAAGATTTAAAATAGGGCCAGGAATAAAAGTTAATTTAGCTCCAAATTTATTCTGAAAGAGGAAAAAAAATCACTCCAAGACAACAGCAACAAAAAAAATCCCTCAAATCCAGGGCAGAACTAGGGTTAACACATTTCTGTTTGACAAGAGAAAGCATGTCCCTATCCCAAGGAGGGAGTACCCTCTTGTGGAAGCTGTACACAAAGACAGGATAAATACCGCTCAGTACTAAGCCGAATAATCCTTTCTTTTTCATCCAGAAGAAATCTTTCTGGAGCAGACCCAGCTTTGTTATGCTTTTAGTCTTTCTACAGTGCTCGATTGACCTTTGAAATCTCCAGGCATTGCCATTAACCCAGCAAAGTCCATTCCACCAAGAAAGCAAAATTGCAGCATGATCAAATTTAAGTTAAGCTCAAAGTGGCTGTAAAAGGAAAACAATGGTCAATGACCTTACTGACTGTAACCTTAATGCCAGCTGAGGAACACTCACCCATCCAATGCCACACTTCAGCAGTGCAACTATTTTGCTTCCAGAGCTGCGCTGGTTTGTGCTGACCTAGTTTGTGTTGGCATCTGCATCACCGTTAACTGACAACCTAAAGATCCATCCAAGGATCCTCTGTAACTGCTGTCCTCATTTCTCTTCCACCACATCGTTCTTCCCCAGTTTTGGCACCACCGACTACTGCAAGTGTAAGATCTTCTCTGATCATGACTTACATCAGGCAGCCAAATAACATTGGCTGCATTTTAGACGATGGCTGAAAAAAGGTATTTGATGCCCATCTGTACATAAACAAACATAAATATCCCTTCTTGACACAGCTACAAGTAGGAGATCTAACGAGAAGCCTTTCTGAAAACCTTTTCCTCTGAATTCCACAATTTTCTTTGTATCGATACGGTACAACTTCCACAGAGGCACCTTGACCTGAACGTCAGGCCCCCTATTAGAAATTCAGATCAATACTGTCCACATTTCTCCAGGGTAACAGAGAAACAGGCTGTCTCGCACAACAGAAGTTCTGCGGACTGCAGTGAAGAGACTCACAAAAGCCTGTATGCGGAGCCAATCTGAATCTGCCATCACTGGCACTGAGCTGGAATCAACCCATTCAGCCCACCTGGCCTCTCTACTGCTTTCCCAGAGGTGTTCAGTTCCAGGACAACATAGCTTAGACACATGAACGCACAGGCCCAACGCAAGCCCCATATTGCACATGCACTGATAAGCCTACCTGGTACTGAGGGAAAATCAGAAGTATAATGTTAAACGTGAATTTTCTACCTTTTCAGTGACAATCTTGCACAATGTGTGTATACTTGTGACATGGATGGACACACAGTGGATGCAGAATGAGTAGAAGCTAAGCAAAAATGAAATGAGGATGCAGATGACAGGAACATAACACCTACTGAGATAGATGTGAAAGATCAAGAGATGGCCTAGCAGGATCACGGTCATAAGGCTCAGAAGAATAAAAATCCCAGCCATGACCAAAATGGCAGATGTCTCAGTCTCAACAGGAGCTGCAGGAAGAAACACAAACCAGCGCTCCGTGTTGTTCTTTAGAGCTGTAAAACAAAAACAGTTGGAGGTAAGTAGATTGTCCAGATATTAAATCTCTCTAACCAAACCTTACAGCAGGAAATATTGTTAACTCAAAAGTAGCCGCAGACCCATTATGCGCTGGAGGCCTAAGAAATCTTGTGTCTGCAAGGCCTTTAGGAAGAGCAGTTCGCTCTGTAAGGACAGACATTCAGTCCAGCAGAGCAGAGATACTCTTGCAGAAGTATAAAATTGAAGGAGCAAGGAATGGAGTTCCTCCTCAGTGGGAGAGCCCAGTCAATCCAATCCCATGTTGAGAGACGCTGGCTGATTCACAGGATGCTCAACTGAAGCACTGCTAGTACCATCAAAGTGCTGGTCGGAGCGAAGCATCATGGGGTCAATGAAGAACTCCACAAAGATGTAGCAAGCGACGAGCAGCAGAAGCCCAAGGCCCAGAAAGGCAGACAGCACGCTATTCAAAAAGAGCCTGCCAAGAAGGTGAGAAGTCTGAGTGGCTTCAAGAACATCACACATACAACTCAAAATCCCAGCTTCTAATAAAGATGGAGACACAGACAGCCATCCCAAGTCACTGTGACGTTTTCTTACACTTATCACAGATAATGCCAAACAGGCTTACTTCTGATTTGTTACCCTGAGGGACAAAATGGTGACCCTTCAGAGCAACCGTGGTTACAAAACAGTCAAGTATATCTAGGACAGACAAAGCGCTCCCTGCACAAAATCTGAAGGCAGTGTAACAGGGCACTCAGCAGTAATAACTCTTTGCTTTCCAAGTGCAGGAAAGTACACTGAGAAGCAATGATCAGTGACAGCCTCCTTATTCTTTATCTGAAACGTGGCCCGGAAGAGAGGTGCCTGTATGCTGCCATAACTCCTGCCAACTGGCAAGTCTTGTAGGCAAGCATGCAATCTGGATGCAGGTTGTTTCAGAGATGGGAACAGCACAATCGCGGTTCTATTCCCACTCCAGCTCGCAGAAGCATTAAGGACACCCAATTAATATCCCATAAGCTTTTACTAATACCAAATAATAAGATTATGTTCTCTGTTTTTATTCGTAGATGTTCAGCTACAAAATTCTAAATGTAGGAGCTTTATCCCTGGTTATTTGAATGTCACAATCATGCTTGCACTCTCCATTGAGTTTTCTCATGCCTGATTTTATTCAGTCAGGATCTGAAAGAAAAGTGGTTCTGTGTGGCTGAGTACAGGCTGGACTGAGATGTAGGAGAATCTCAGGAAGAGAAGGAGTGACATTACTGATGCAGTGTTGTGCTCCCATCACAACCCCAGGCTCTTACCAGTAATTTCTCTCTCCCACACAGTTGTTGAGCCATTTGCAGTGGTGATCAAAGCCACACACACACTTGTTGCAAGTTCCACAGTGCTTTGACTTAGCACTCCTGCCAAAGAAAGGGTGGCGTTAGCATGGCAGTACCAGCTCATTACCACAACTTCCCAGTGACACAAATCCAGTGGCATACAGCAGTAGAGATCCCAGTAATAGTGAGAAAACCTTCTACATCTGGAATAGTTCGACACCCAAATGTACTGGCCACATCAGCCATCATTGGACCACAATCCCAAACACTGCAAAATTTGCCTCTCAATGCACTGTGTGATTTCTAATTTGGAGAGCATCGATTTCTTATTTGAAACCCTTTAGCAGTTCCACAAAGCTCAATCTTAATGTCTGCCCTCCAAGCACTTCCTGCTACCATTATTAGCATCTAGCCAGATACAAGCACACACACACAAGCTACACGTTGTAAGGTCAAACACCAACATCCAGATAACACGGAACAGTACAGTCCTCTCCACACAACATGTGAGCAATTAAACAAAACACAGCTCCACGCGCCCATTTGACAGCAGGCACCTACCCAACTCACTGAACCCTGCCACAGGATGAACTTTAACTTGTGCTACAGAGCTTCAGGGGCTCAATATCAATCTTACAGTCTAACATTGAAGACTAATGGTGAAGTGTAATGATGAAGAAGACAGGGTAGTAGAAGCAAAAGAGAAGATACTTACACATCTACATCACAGACACGGCAATGATGGTTTTCAATGACATGTGCATGTTGATTACGATTGAAGGTGGCCAGAGGCCCTAGATAGTTTTTTTCTCGCACATTTGCATCCGCAGGATCAATGGAGACTGCAGTAAGATGAACAACTAAATGGTAGATAAAACACACTCCTGGACACTGAAGTACATTGTTAAGGATTGTATGAGTGATTTAATGCATATATTGTTATCCTTAATACACAAAGCCCACACAGATGAGAAATACATGGCTTAGAATTAGAAATCGCTATATAACTGATTGCAGCACATTACTCTGAGCTTTAACAGAGACATTTGCGTTGCAGTAAATATCCTCTGGAAAAAGGTAACTAAATCTCCAGGAACAGCCCTCCTTATCATGTACTACTCTGCCTCACAGAAATGTCCCTCCTAGCACAGGAGTTTTTAAAAATTACCTTTACTTACCAGAATCTGACCCCATACGCAGACTGTTGACATAGGTCCACGTTTCTCAGTCCATACAGATTCCTTGGAAAGGAACAGCCAGTTAAGGCCGTGCACACGCCCCTTCACAAGATCAAACTTCCAAGAAAGAAAAAAAAAAAAAAGGTTACATCAAGGAACTAGTACTGATCACCTTGCTCTCCTTTTTCTTAGTCAGAATCCTAGTGAAGAGGATCACTCCTTTAAAGCAGGCTCCTACACAATTTGCAGACAGACAGTATCCAGGATTTGTCATTATTGCTTGAAATATCACCTGTTTGAGTTCTTACTTCTAAACGCAGCAGCAAGTCAGAGCAAATACGCTTTCACAGCACTTTTGATCAGACTACCTGAAGAAATGCTGATATTTGGAAAGAATATACAAACATGTAGGAATATGCAAATACGTAAGAATATACAAACACAAAGCAGCAACCCTGCATGCCTGGAATACCACTGTGCTCGAGAGTTTGCTTCTCACTACACTGCAACTAAATGAGCAGGTGTGCAAAACCTAACCTTCCAGTTTATTTGTTACACAGCCAGATGTGCACATCATTGATCGTACTAAGGCCTATGGAAAATAGAGCAGTGTAGTAATGAAAAAAGGGAGGTTTTTGAGAGGTCTAGCTGACTGGAGCGCTGATAACTGGTATAGCAGAAGGGGAAGGGATTTGCCTTTGACACAAAAGAGACATTAGTGCTTTATTAACTGGTAGCGAAATTCTGGGATACACTAGTCTGTTGAATTAGAGTGACTTTAGATGAGTTACGAAGATATTTGGTAGACCAATTCATGAGGTTTGAACCATGATACCAAGGATTTGGGTAAGATAAGCAGATGCAAACCACTGTGAACTAATGATATTAATGCTTAAATCATGTAGGTGATAAGCAAAAGCATCCCAAACACATCAAAGGCTCCATAGACATACAAAATCAGATGTATAGATGATGTAAGAGCACATCCCATCTCTTCAGAACTTTTCCCAAGATTCTCACTGTAATCTCTCTTAGTTATCTGGTTCTGCTAAGGAAGCACTAAGTAGCACTGAGCCACTTGGTCAATTTTATTTTCACCAGGAAGATGTTATTGGAGATGAAAAAAGCAAACACTTGCTCACAAATGACAAACCCTCATCAGGTTGTTAAGCACTAAATTCAAATCTCAGGATACCCTCTTCCAGCCTGCCACTCCCCAGGCAATCTAGTCCCCCAGAAGCCAGGGCCTGGCCTTGAGGAAGTTCCTTCCCTGGGTGCAGGTGACAGTACAAGGTGACACTGGGAGCACTGGGATTGCTCCTGAACACACCCCATCTCTCCTTCCCAGCTGCAGAAGCAACAAGCGTGCACAGCTCTAGGAAGGTGGGTTGAGGACAGGAGGTGGAAAACACATCAGGCTGGGCTGGGTTAGGCTTTGCTGGGCAGCACACCAGACAAGATGCTGACACAGCATAGGCACCTCATCTTCTGATACTGCCCACATTTAGAGGACAGTCAGACATGTGTTAAACTGCTGCTCGAGACCATCCCATGACAGACCTTTCCTCTGACCTTCACACTCCACCACCTTGTTGTTCACTCACCGATTTTCTACAGAGGCCAGGGGAGGGCCCTGGGAGAAGATCAAGTGCCAGCTATCACAACCAACCACACCATATAATCACAAACATAGAAAGATGCCTTTCAAGACTCAAATCAGCACAGGGAGTTGTGGCTGCTCATCACGGCAAGGAGGTTTCAGGATGGGCTTTTTTAGTACGACTTCCCTCAAACCCTTGTAGAAAAATAGTATAAAGCAAAGGAGACACACAGGCAGAAGTAGACAGCAGAAATGCCTCGAAGACAAAGATCATAAACTTAACAGGGAGTGATGAAGGAGACAAGCAGAATGTTAGTGACCTACCTAAAGCTGAGGACAGAGAAGATCTCAAAATAACTGGTTTCTATAGACATGAGAAGATCAAGATTATAGTCACAGTTTAGAAAAAGATTCTGCCTCAGCTGCTTTCTCCTATGCTTTCTATGCTACCTATTTTAAAAAAATCCCACTGATAGTTTATTACAGTCCACATTCTCCTCTTGACCAAAGGATACGATATAGCCAGCCGGCAGCCAGTGGGGGGGCAGGAGAGGAACCAGGATTCCAAAGCCAACCAGTGCAAAGAAGAGGTACAGCAACCAGGCAATAATCTGGAAAAGGTGCAGAGGCCAGCTCCAGCCATTCCTTCGAGCGCGTTGGACCTGCACCTCAGGAACAGCTTCACCCAAATTCTCTGGAGCTGTCTTATTAGAAGGTTTGTTGCAGATACTCATCTACAGAAATCAAAAATGGAAAACAAAAAAATACGTGATATACAAAAATATTGTGATGGAGCCCTGGTCCTGCAGCTATGTTCTAGGGTGGACAGAAAGTTGGAGGGACTAAAAGGACAAGACATCTGAGGAGAAACTTCTCTCTGCACAGGGAATTTGTGATTGATAGTAACAAAAGGGAAAAAACAACTACATACTCTAAAAGCAGGATCTGTTGTCTGCGTGAAACAACAACATCCCAAACTTTCAGCTAAGGGGAACTTGCGGGTTTTGCCAGTTTTTAAATGGATCTAGATTTAAATTGAGTAAAAAGAGCAAAGAGGGTATTTTGGTGGCAGTCCAGAGACGGAGTATGATATGTGGTGGTCTGGGGATGTGTTCGTGTTAGAATGCTGTTGCAGACAATGGCAGAACAAACGCTTTCACCAGTCTCGGATACGCCATGCAGCACAGAGAAGTGTAGTGAGAGCGGGTGGCCCCATTGGAGCACGTGGTCTGAAACTGCAATTTAGCACTACCCAGTGTCCAAGAAATCAGAGACTCCTTTGTCAGCAACAAAGGAAGCGGAAAGACTAGAAACTGAAAAAGTGAACTTCAGTGACAGAAAGGGGAAAAGAAGCAGGAGTTACTCCACAACACAAGCATAAAGCAGACTGTTGCTACAATAACTGAACAGAAAGTGATGTATGCAGGACACCCAGGCAGGAAGCAGCTTGATTATTCAATGTCCTACATATATGTCTGGAGTGCTGGCAGGAGAAAGCAAGACTCAACCATAAAGAGGAGTTACAAACCATAACCTGGGAAGTTTCTGAAGTTTAGGATTCCTGTTTGCACAGCTCAGAAGTGATTCCTCCTGTTTTCAGCTTGTGTTGGATTATTAGTTGTTGCCTTTGCTTGCCACAGAGCCAGGGTGAGCTTTTAACAATGGAGAGCTGGGCTGCTCTGCTTCACGGAAAACTCGCATGCCACAGATACAAGGGAGCACCCTACAGGCAGCAGGTCAGGGGTAGCATGGCAAAACTGGCATGAAGAAGCTCTGCTGGACCTGACCTGACTCGAGGTACCTCTGCACCACGCTCACTGCTCCTTAGTAACTAAAGAGGATGTTAAATTAACATCCAGCAGGGATAAGCAACTTCAATCAGTCTGATTAACTTGCACATGAGCGTGCTGAAAGAAAAGGAGGAAGTCTCTAGCTCACTTGTAGTATTTTTGATAATGGTTCCAGTACCAGAAAAATGCCAAAAGCCTGGAAGACAGCAAACATGCCAACGTCCTGCAAGAGCGAGCAGAACAATTCAGATCTTGGTACCCTAGCGGTCCTGCATCAGTCCCAGGCAAAGGGCTGGAAATGTCTTTTGGAGTCAGCCAGTAAGAAGTAGTGGGTAAGAATACAAAAGAACGTAATTTATGCTCGTCAGCACAGCCTTATCACCAAGCAGGCTGGAAAAAAAAAAATCCTATCTTCAGTCTTTGAAGAAATTAGCAGTATCTGCCTGCATTCATAGTCTAAATCGCTACGTGGCAACATCAGTGATGAGAAATAGTAACTAACCATGTGATACTGTTCTCATTAGGCTGTTGAAAACTTGCTTGCACATTGCTTTGAGCTATCTGTTACAAAAACATTATTTGAAGAAAAAGATTATTTGAAGACATTCCCAGGTTTCTCCTGTCTCCTAATCAGACCCTGGCTGGGGAAGCCAGGCCCACCCAGACTTTGGAATCCCTGCTTTGCTGCAAGATTTTGCTGTTTTATAACAACACCAGATGCTTTTAACATTACGTTATTTAACACCAAAAACTTTGGTACAATTCAACAGGATTTTTTTAGGTGGTGAACTGCAATTAAAGCAAAATTAAGCTACTGAGTTAAGCTACTCCTGGCCAAACTATCCCGAAGTCTGCAGTCCCCCCACAGCAGTGTTGGTCTAGTAACAGAGTCTCCAGAAGGAAGAAAGCTGCATGTAACGCTTCAGCTGTCCTATTTCAGAAGCAAAGTTCTTCTTGCCTTTCCCTTACAACTCAGTGGCTTCTCTTGTAGCTGATGCACTGATTATTCACAGATGCTGATGAAAAACAAGGCTATATGTGAAAAGACTGGAGGATGCAGCATGCCCCCTTCCCGGTGGGGTGTTCTATGCTGTGGGTATGCCCAGCACTCCGTCTACCCAGCTGCAGAAAACATTGACTACAAAAAACACAAAGGGCACGAAGTCACCATCAGGGCTTACTCCGTCACCGTAGACAAAGGAGAGGTAACTGAGTTGACGCTGGTTGTTAACTATACTAGTTAGTTAACTAGAAGTCACCCGGGAGTTACAGGTTCACCCCTTCGGGTGCTCAGCCACCGGACAGCCAAGTGCTGGGCAGCGGGAGGGAGCATGCAACCAGCCGCGCTGGGACACAAGCACCTCCCGGGGCAGGCACCGGGGACCGGGCCGAACGAGCAGGGTCCCGGGCAGCCGCTCTGGGGAGGGCCGGACAGACCCCTCCCGCGGGTCCGCCACCTCCATTTTTCTCACCTTCTTTCCGCAGAGGCGGTTGAGAGCGGCCCCTTACCCGCCTCATGCCCCAGCGGGGAGCGGGGCCTCCAGCTGAGGCCGCTGCGGC